CGCACAAACACAGAAATGAAAGAGAAAAGGTGGAGCAGCACGGCAGTGCAGCGTGTGATCTGGACACAAGAGATGGAGGCACAACTTGTAGGAGGCAAGCTCATCCCAGTACGTAAGCGTAGAGATGCCACCCAGGCAAAAGAAAAATAGAGCTATATCACATTATAACGTAAAAAGTTTATTGTTCAAACAATATACTTTTAGTGTTTGTACAATATACCTTTCATGTTTGAACAATATAATATCACGTTCATACAATATAATATTTATATTGTACGAACGTGATAATTATGTATATTGTAATAACGTGATATTATATTGTACAAACATTAAAAGTATATTGTTAGAACAATAAACCTTTCATGTTATAACGTGATATAGCTCTATTTTTTTTTTTGCCCCGGTGGCATCTCTACGCTTCCGTATCCGAGGCTTTTCAATGTGGCCTCTCAAAATTATCATGACTACAATAACCATGAAAAGAGTTGGATGAACATTGCTGCTTAGTCAAAGCTGTCTGGTCAATGTTTTTCATTAGTAATTTAGCAAAGTTGATGGTGTGTGTGTGTGTGTGTGTGTGTGTGTCTGTGTGAGTGAAAGACAGAGAGGGAGAGCGAGGGACAGATTTTGTATGATAAGCTTCATGTTATGGACGCAGTTTGAGCACTCAGGTCGCATCAGAGCATCAGGCCGTATAGTGTGAGACCCTGCATCGTGACCTATGAACTTCTAACCCCTGCGACTTAATTGTACAGTTTGAGCAGGAGCTGAATAACGAGACTGAAAAAAAATCGCACAGTGTTTGCCCAGCTTAATGCAGACTGTTTAAACTAAACAAGCTGCTGTTTCATATAATAAACCCTGTCAGCCGCAGTATTGCCTTCTGTTTTAGCAGTTAAAGCAGTAGAGACGAGCTGTTTGCATGCGCGTGGAACTCTAGCTTGTTTAACCAGGCTAGCTGTCAGCTTATAGCCCACGCTAGCTAACCAGCGAGCAGTTAAAAGGACAGC